GCCGCCTCGCCCGCGTCCCCGCCGCTGCCCGCCTCCTCCCGCCCCGCCCGCCCTCGCGGAGGGCCTGCGCCCCTGCCCGATGAAACTGGCGGCGATGATCAAGAAGATGTGCCCGAGCGACTCGGAGCTCAGCATCCCGGCCAAGAACTGCTACCGCATGGTGGTCCTCGGCTCGTCCAAGGTGGGCAAGACGGCCATCGTGTCGCGCTTCCTCACCGGCCGCTTCGACGACGCCTACACGCCCACCATCGAGGACTTCCACCGCAAGTTCTACTCCATCCGCGGCGAGGTCTACCAGCTCGACATTCTCGACACGTCCGGCAACCACCCGTTCCCCGCCATGCGGCGCCTGTCCATCCTCACCGGTGAGCGGGGGGCCTGCGGGGCGGCGGCGGGCGGGCGCGGGCTGCCCGCTTCGGGTTCGCGCGTCGCGGCGGCTCCCTAACCGAGTTTCCTCCCTGCCCCTCCCAGGAGACGTGTTCATCCTGGTGTTCAGCCTGGACAGCCGCGACTCTTTCGAGGAGGTGCAGCGGCTCAAGCAGCAGATCCTGGACACCAAGTCTTGCCTCAAGAACAAGACCAAGGAGACCGCGGACGTGCCCCTGGTCATCTGCGGTAACAAGGGCGACCGGGACTTCTACCGCGAGGTGCCGCAGCGCGAGATCGACCAGCTGGTGGGCGGCGACCCGCAGCGCTGCGCCTACTTCGAGATCTCGGCCAAGAAGAACAGCAGCCTGGACCAGATGTTCCGCGCGCTCTTCGCCATGGCCAAGCTGCCGAGCGAGATGAGCCCGGACCTGCACCGCAAGGTGTCGGTTCAGTACTGCGACGTGCTGCACAAGAAGGCGCTGCGCAGCAAGAAGCTGCTGCGGGCGGGCAGCGGCGGCGGCGACCCCGGCGACGCCTTCGGCATCGTGGCGCCCTTCGCGCGCAGGCCCAGCGTGCACAGCGACCTCATGTACATCCGCGAGAAGGCCAGCGGCGGCAGCCAGGCCAAGGACAAGGAGCGCTGCGTCATCAGCTAGGCGCAGCGGCCGGGAGGACCTCTCTTGTTTAAAAACAAAATCCGACCCCCGGCCGGCCCCGCGCGCCCCGGGCCTCGAGAGCGCGCCTGGTGGCCTCCTCCCTCCCCAGGCCGGGCGTGCGCTTTGGGAAGGCGCCACTTGAGACGGGACGGTCATCTGTTGTGGAAGCAAAGAGCTGGCGGAGACTGGCACTCTCCCACCCGCCCCGCCCCGATGGGCGCCCCCACCCCACCACGCGGGGACAGGGTGCGGGAGAGGGGAGTGGGAGAGGGGGTGAAGTTCACCTGCCGCTGTCAGGTGTCATGGAACCGTCCTGCCCCCTCCGCTTTGGAAGGGTCGGGTCTGGACCAACGGGGCATTATCCGGTCTGTGATTCCACGTCCTCAGGAGGCTGGCCAAAGCCTCTGCCCTCCAGAAACCGAGGGAGTGGGTCAAATCCTAGCCAAACGGCTTGTTTACATGTGTGTGTGTGTATGTGTGAAGTTGCACAAGGGAAAAAACACGAAACTTGCACTTTAATAGTAGTTCCGCTGTCGACATGGACATGAACAAACTCTCCAGGCGTTTATACTGTGAGGTCTTTACGGTTATTATTGTTGTTGGTTTTTTTGATATAAAATAAAATCATTTGAAATGAACAAACTGGGCTTTCTTTGCTTTTAGATAGGGCTCTGGGGAGAGGGGACCCGCTTCCGAGGCACTGGCCCTCGCCTTGTCCAGAATTAGAACATAACCTTGCCTTTCTGAAAATAGCTTCTGGTTTTCTGGGAGAAAGGGCTCCAAAGTAGCTCCAGATGACTGGACTGATACAAAATGAAGACAAACGGAGTCAGGGTCCTCCCTGGTCACGCTGCCGTTCCCCTGCTTAGTCTTCAGGCCGGGTCACAGAGAACATTCTTAATTCTTCCGTTCCAGCCGATCTCCAGATCGGGGGCAGGCCTAGGGTCAGGGTGTCGGGCTCAAAACTCAAGACCGTTGGATGTGTTACCTGGGCCCAGCTGTTACACACAGGAAATGGAGCCCAAGAAGAGCAGGCTGGCACTGGACCCCTGACCCCTCAGCTGTTTGTGACGTGTGACCCAATTCTCCCTGCCACTCCAACTGCAAACCTGAAGCTAGCAACACCTGCCAAGCCCTTGTCATCTGCGAAAAAGAAGGCCCCTCTGCATGGGTTGCTGTGAGGATTAAGTGTAGTGTTTCAAAAGTACTTAGCACAAGTACCTGCTGCCCAGTAACCCAAACAGTGGGCAGCTTGAGAGGGTGCCGCGCCCTGTGAGGGTCACAGCATTGCCGAAGCGTTTCACCCTGCTCTGCAGAGCCGCTCTCAGCCAGGACTGGTCCTCAAGCACCAAAAGGCACCCACTCCTACCATAAAGGGTGGCCCCAGGCACCCCCTGGGAGGCAGGTGCTGGGACAAGTCACCATTTCTGTTGGAGGAGCCAGTCCATATTACACTGGTTTAACTGGTCAGGTGCTGGGGGGAGGGAGGGGAGGAACAAGGGTCTCCCAGTTTCATTCTGTGTCTAAGTAACTTGAACCCTTTCAACCAATCAAGAGACATCCACTCTGAATCCCTGGTAAAACCCAACATTCCCTGGGTTTGATCCCCAGCACAGCAAAGACAGACGACAGTGTCTTGGGAGCAGAATGTAAGTTCTTTTAATTATACATTTGAAACATGTCACAAGTCAAAACTGAACGCAGAAGGGTTTGTTTCCCTCCACCTCTTTGAGGAAACACTCTGCACTCCAGCCTCAGAAAGACTCAGCACGTCTGAATTTTTTTTTTCTTTTTTTGAGACAGGGTCTTGTAGGTAGTCTAGGCTGGCCTTAGACTCATCGATCCTCCTGTCTCAGCCTCCCAAGTGCTGGGATTACACCAGCACACCACCACACCCAGCCACTGTCTATGGAGTTTTTATGGGTTTTGTGTTTTGTGGTATTTAGTCAAAGCCTTAAAATCGGCCCACCCACTACTGTGAAATTTCAAGAGAATAACTGATTCAGTTAAGTATCAATCTCTAGGTAGAACTGGTGTAACAAGTGATCACCCAATTCAACTCAGACTGCTTTTTTGGCCAGTGAAAGCTGGTCTCTTCCCCGACACAGCTGTGGGATCCCAACATGCCAGCCGTCTCCTGACAGGTGGTTACAGGCTGATGCTGCTGGAACCCCTGCTACAAACACCCCAAGCAGCACTGCTGCCAATGAGGCCATTGGCGGGTGGCTGCTAAGCCCCCAACTGGGTAGCACAGGCAGTGAGCCCATTTCTAGGTCTAAACAATGTTCAGTTTTACTTCTCCAGTACCCTCAGGCGCAGGGGAAGGGACTATCACCTATCAGTATGACAGCCAGAGGCTACAAACACCACCTTGCTGGAAGAAATCAACAGGGCTGGGGCACATCAAGTGTATATGTAAACACCTAGGCGAAGCTGCCCCGGCTCACATTCCGCCAGCACTGGCCCAGAGCTACCCGCCACCTTGCTGACGGACCACCCAACCTCCACTAGAACCGTGAGTCTCTGAACGAAAGGCATATTGGAAACCCTTCGCAGGGCAGCAAGTACAGTGGCTCTGGTGAGGAGGCCAAGAGGAAATAATGCTCTAGGCCAGGGCAGTGTGGGTCGGAGGAAAGATGTGCCCGCCTAAAACCCGACTGGGCCCGTGCGGGACGGGGCCCTCTCCACCCGCGGGAAGCGCTGCACTGTGGGGCGGCCGGCTCCTCTTGGGCCCTGTGGTCTCAGGGAACAAAGCGAGAGCTGCTGTAAGGAGGCGGAGCAGGGGGAGCCTGGAGTCGGCGGCCCCTGCCCGGGCTCTTGCCTGCACCCCACAGACGCAGCTGTTCACCCGCTCAAACAGAACGGAACTAAACTGTTTCGGGGAGGAACAGCCACCCACCCTCTGGCCTTTCAAAAGAGTGTTCATTTCTCAGAGCCTTCTTTAATTCTATTAAATTCATGCCGTACGATTGGAGCTCTCACCGAAGCAGTGAATTCTATGCAAATGCTGCTAATGGGAACAGTATGTACCTGGTACACCCTGATGGTACTGGGGGTGGGAGGAGCCGAGAGCAGGCGGCCGCAGGAGGCGCTCCCCTCCCCACACTGCCCTTCAGAGCTGCTGGTGGGCCCAGGCACAGCAGATGCCCCTCCCCAGAGAGAGGGTAGAGGGTCCCCCCCCAACGCTCTTTCTCACAGCGGGCACTCGAGTCAGGTGCACACGCGCGCACACACACACACACACACACACACACACACACACACACGAGCCGGGGCTGACGCCCACATGGTCAAGACCAAGTTCAGCTAAGGAGGCCCCACAGCAGCCCCGCTTGGCTGCAGGTCAGAGCTGGGGTCGAAGGAGCAGCGCCAAGGAGTGTGGGGGAGATGGCAGGGCCTCGCGCCTCCTGCCCTCTCGGGCAGTCCTGGAAGTCGCCTGGCTCTACTCCTTGGGGATCTCAAACATGCAGAGGCTCTTGTACTTCTGCAGAAGTTCGTTCTTAGTCCTGACTTGCTCCCGCAGGCTGTGCAGCTGCTGCTGCTGCTGCTCGGGGCTCAGCTGGATGCCAGGCATGGTGCTGATGAGCCTGCGCATCTCCTGGAACTTGGCTTTGAGGGCGTTCAGGTCCTGGTGGACGTCGGGGCTGTCTTTGTCCATGCTGTGAGACAGAGGGCAGCAATCAGCACTCCCAGCCCATACCCACCTGACGTCACTGCTCTGCGTTCTCCGGGGCCTTCCAAGAAGCCTTGTTTGCTGTGCCTGCTCCCTGACTCGCTGCGTACCCACAGAGCACAGGGACCAGTTCCTCCTTAGTTAGTTTAAAAAACGCTCCTCTGCTGGGCCTGGTAGCGCACACTTAAGCCTTAGCACTCGGGAGGCTGAGCCAGGAGGATCACTGTGAGTTTGAGGCCAGTCTGCACTACATAGTGAAACCTTGTCTCAAAAAAAATCCCCGAACAAACAAAAAAATAAAAACACGCCCTCTGCCTAGCACACCTGCAATGTCAGGGGTTTAACACTGCTCCTCAGTGCACCTTAGTACCACGGGGGTGGGGCTGTGCCGCCTGGTCCCAGGTGTGTCCCAGCCCCTGGCTAATGGGGACGCCGCAGGTACTCCAGGAATCTTTGTTGAACGAAGAAATGCTTGGCAAACAAATTCATAAATATGTATTGAGTGAAGGAACAAACCATTATCAATTATCTGCTGACCAATTTCCCCAAAAACTTACAGAAATAAGCTGGGAGTGGTGGTACACACCTGTAATCCCAGCACTCTAAAGCTGGGAGGCTGAAGCAGGAGGAGCGCCATGAGTTTGAGGCCAGCCTGGACTACACAGTGAGACCCCATCTCAAACAAACAAACAAACAACCTTATGGGAATACTACCTTTTATCTAATTTGGGTCATTCCCAGGCCAAAGTCTTTGCCAGCTAGCAAGAACTAATTTTAGCTGAGGTTTTGATGCTTGCTTGAACTGTTTCCACAGAACTGTTCATAAATTCTAAATCAGTTACAAGCTACTGGAAATTTTCAGCATATACAGGCCTCTCCTGGCACAGTCATGACAAGTTCATGCCTTCAGGTCAAGTTCATTTTGAAGTGGATCGTTCACTTCATCTTACAGCTATTATTAGCCACACACAGATCAATGAGCCCCAGCAACTACCAAATTAAAAGCAAAACAAGAATGAAAACTTTCACCCAAGGTCAAAGAAATGGCCCATTGGTTGTGCCTTTACGTTTTTTAGGAGTCAGTAAGTGGCCGAGCTTTGGAAAACAAGCGGCTGAGACTAAAAATGAAACGGCAGTTCACTAAGCCGTTCTAAAAGGAAGCCACTGAAGCGAAGAGGGAGAAGTGTCAGTGATCATTCATATTTCTTAATAAATACCCATCCTTACCGGGAAATTTCAACCCAGATGGTGCAAACTCGTGTTTACTATTCATCATTTCTCTGCTTACTCAGACAGAATATCCATCCTCCCCGGCGATCTGTCAGCTACACCGCACACCTTACAAATCAGACAGCCACGAGGGCCTGCTCACTATTTATCAACAGCCCTAAACTCAGAGGCAGGACTCGGAGCGCCAGTCATTTCTTCCCCAGAATGAAGGGCCGGCAAACATTCCCTGTTGTCACTGGAGCCCCTCAGTGTAGAGCGCAGTCAGTGGTACCTTAATCCGGTTGCTAGGAAGGAGTAATTAGAATTTGGGAGAACCACAAACGGTCTGGAAGGAAGCAATCAGGGAGCATCTTTTTGTTTTGTTTTGCAGTGCTGGGGCTGGAACGCAGGGCCTTGAACCTGCTAGACAAGTGCGCCACCACCGAGCTACACTCTCAGCCAGGGGAGCATCTGTTTTAAGCTCTTTTAAGTCTCAGCTCGGATCCATAAATCTGGACAGAAACCATCTGGGCTTCTGAAAGTATTCCATCTGGATGGCATGTATGTTAACATACTTATAAATTAAATTAAAGTCCCAAGGAAGTTTTGAGGTTAAAATAGTTTGTCTTTTTCTTTCTTCTTCCTTCCTTCCTTCCTTTTTCTTTCTTTCTTTCTTTCTTTCTTTCTTTCTTTCTTTCTTTCTTTCTTTCTTTCTTTCTTTCTTTCTTTCGTGCTGGGGATTGAACTCAGGGCCTGTGCATGCTAGGCAAGCACTCTACCACTGAGCTACATCCCCAGCTCCTAAAATATAGTTTTAAGAAAAGTGATTCCCATCACTTGAGGCTGGAAAGATGTGATATAAACGAACAGAATACATGTAAAATTAAAATGTGGAAGGAAGTCATCCTAATACAGTTGTTGAAGTAAACTGAACCAGGCCCAAAAGAAAATTCACTTCTGAAGACAGAAAGTGGCCTATGTAAGACGCTCATGTCTGAAAATCTCCCAGCCCCATGGCTGCCCATTATCCACCTAGCGAGCTTTTGGGAAAGGAGGCTGGGTCTTCAGACAAGAAATAAAGAGGCAGACAAAAGCTGCTGGGGAGAGGGGGAGCTGAGCCGCAAGGGGGCTCCTCTGTGGGCTGCTTACCTACCCTCGCTGGTAGCGGTAAATAGCACAGAAGTCCTGGGGTGAGGAAAACACACTATTTATGAACCGGCTTGAACCAAGTGGGAACCTGCTAAGCTAGAATGACTGTGAAACGCCCGAGCTGAAAGAAGAGGAGCAGGCCTGAGTGCTGAGCGAACACCAGCAGAGGACTCCCAGTGGGTCTGCCTTTGTGCTTGGCTTAGTCATCATCCAACTTTAGAAGAAGAAAAAGGATAGTAGGTCAAGAAGCATGAAAACAGTACAAACAAGGACAAAGTTCCGGCTCTCTGGTCCCATCTTCCATCCTCTATTTTTCAGAGTGGACAAAAATATTACTGCTGAGCGGCATCCTTCTCCCAGCAGGTAGCACGCTCGTCAGGGTTTGACTCGGGGCAGACAGCACGGGCTCGGGTGGGCGCACCTAAGAGTCACACACCCATTATCTTTGGTCTTGTCTTTTGTTTCTCTTGGCCTAGGTACTTTAGCACAGATATGCACTGTCAACAACCAGGCAGCACGACCCCCGACAACCCAGGAGCAAAAGGAGCCCAGGGGCAGACTGACCCTAAGTCACTTTGGGCCTCGCTGGCGTCTGACTTGGTCTCACATACCCTCCTCCACACCTGCTCCCTTCATGACTTGGCCTCGCTGGCGTCTGACTTGGTCTCACATACCCTCCTCACACCTGCTCCTTACCATGTCCAAGGCCTAATGCCCCTCAGCCGTCCTCTGCGCCTATCTCTTCCGACCAGGCTAACTACAGCGGCTTCCATCTCTCCAAAATCATCTTTTTGTCTTATGTATTAATAGGTGCTTGAGAGGAAAAAATTGAGAATGCCAGACACCAACCAAAGCTTAGGAGAGGGGAAGTCTCTTTAACCCAGGTCCCAGACATAACTTCTGTTAACATGTGACGTACAGTTTCGACTGCTTCAAAATACACAGCTCAGAAACACATGCATACTTTTGTTATTTGTTTTGACAGAAATGTGATCATATGCAGTTCCGATTCTTGCTTTTCTTCATTTAACAATGTACCCTGAAGGTCTGTGTTTGGCACATATACAATTACACAGATGAATTACTTGGTGGGTGACTGGAACGTTTGTAATTTGTCAGAATGGAAATGAACATTCTGCACTTACATCTTTATGTATTGATGCAAGTATTCTGTAAGACAATTTTACACCAGTGGGAATTTTGGGTTGAAGTAAGTTTATTTCCGTATTGGGGATGGAACCCAGGGCCTCTCACATGCTAGGCAAGTGCTCTACCACTGAGCTACATCCCCAGTCTTTTTTTCTGGGCAGGGTCTCACTATGCAGTTCAGGCTGGCCTTGAACTCGTGGTGATCCTCCTGCCTCAGCCTCCTAAATGCTGGGATTACAGGTGCATGCCACCATGCCTAGCCCCTCAGTCTTTTTTGGTTTTGAGACAAAGTTTCACTAAGTAGCCCAGGCTGGCCCAGAACTTGTGATCTTCCTGCTTCAGGCTCCTGAGCAGCTGGGATTACGAGTATGCTCCACCATCCCAGCTAAGGTTACATAATTCTTAACAGATATTACCAAAATGCCCTCTGAGATGGACAGTGATGTACACCTGTAATCCCAGTTACTCTGGAGGCTGATGCAGGAGGACTGGCAGTTTGCGGCCAGCTTGAAAAGGAGAGTCTCACCTCTCTCTCTTTCTCTCTCTCTCTCTCTCTCTCTCTCTCTCACACACACACACACACACACACACGGGCCTTTACAAATCTTTACTAACATACAATCTGTGTAGCTGTGGACAACAGGCTATCCCCCGACCCTGACCACACTGGCTCTTCCTTATCTAGCAACTGTTCTTCTCTGATCCACCTTGGTAGCACCCAAGGGGCTTTGGACTCCATACCCTTGCTTTTCATCTGTGTTAAGGCTCCATGTGTAATATTCTTTTCAGGGAGGAATGAAGGCTTCTGCTGCCTGAGGAAGTGTGGAGACACGCCGTTCTACACGGTGCTGTGGGTGCTGCGCCCTCCCCTTGGCCAGCCCTCTTCCCAGCAGTGGCTGCTGAGTCTAGCGAGCCCTCAGACATCCACGTGCCATCTGCTTCCTCAGCGAGATGGCACAGCCCACCCACCTCCCCGGGCGAGCTCGGGGCTGTCTGCCCAGACTCGCTCCTGTGTGACACCCCCACCTCCCAGCTCGGAGCCTGCCAAGTCCTCCTCCCCAAGCCCCTCCAGCCCACCCCCTGCCACCGCTTTCCTGGACATCCAGTTCTTGATCTCTGAACCCCTCTGCCCGACTCACCTTTAGAAAACAGAGTCTGAGCAAGTCACCTCACCTCTTGAAAATTCCACTGCCCTCCACCCCAGACAGCAGCTGCTGGGCAAATTCAAAGCAGTGCCACCCACTAGCGCCTCCAGTTTCCCCAGGCTCAGGGTCCCCTTCTTCCCAGGACCCTGAATACCACTTCTCCCTGGCTGCAGGGACGCCTGGACCAGCCTGGACCCTGCAGCTTGGGCCCACAGGCCTCCCCTGCTGCAGCAGGCCTGAGATGGCGCGAGGGCCAGCGACCCACACCGGCCTTGTGTGGGCAGGTCAATGACACAGCGACACCCTGTTCCCACGGAGGTCTCGCTGACCTCCTACAATAGGTGGACGTGCTGTGGCAGCCGGCCAGGCAGCAGGGCTGTGTGCCCACTCGAACTCCCTCTGTAGGGTCGAGGACGGCTCCTTCGTGCCCACCCAGCAACCGCAGCCATTTGAAGAAGTACAGCAGGTAATTAAAAAGGGGCCCTGAAAGTACCCATACTGAGGGGGCCAGAAGCAGCAGGCAGCAGGAACTGCACTTCAGGATTCTTTGCCTGGGACACTGAGTTCCACACTCAGATTTACTGTTTGTTTTTTTTTTCTTCCTGGTACCGGAAATTGAACTCACGGCCTTGCGCTTGCCAGGCAGGCACTGTGCTGCTGAGCTAAATCCCCAGCCCCGATTTGCTGGGTTTGAAGGGAGGAAAGTCATAGCTTTCCCAGGCCTCACAGACCTCACTGCGTTCTCCTTTTACTATGTTATACTTTTTTGTAATTGTGGCTTCCACACATAACAAGAAAGGCCAGGAAAAGTTGGGATTTGTAGTATTTTTTTATAGGAATAAAATGCAATTTTTTTCCCTTTCCTTATTCCTTAAAAATAACATAAATCTATCGTTTTGACCATTCATTCAACTATGGGAAAGACACTGGCAGGGATGAGAGTGTTATGGCTCAACTGCAGGCCCTCCTAGCACGGCTCCGGGAGCCAGGCAGGGCCCAGTGCAGCAGGAGCTCCGGCTCAGAAGTCTCTGAGTACAGGCAGCGGCCGCAGAGCAGGTCCTGAAGGACTGCGCAGTGCTGCCCCGAGGGCCACACACCTAACAGTGCCGCAGCCGAAGGCTCTGCCCAGGCTCTGAGTGGGCAGTCTGGGCAGGCCGTGTGAGGGGTCTGCTGGCCCTGAGAGCAGGGCTAAACGTCTGGGCCCAATTTGGGAAGAACAGGAAGCCCTTGAGAATTTGAGCAGAGAAAAATCATCCTGGTAAGATGCTCAGGATAATTAGAGAGGAGAATTCAAAGGCAAAGAGACTAATTTAAAAAGCAGTTATTAGATCCCAAAACAAGGTTATACCTGGTAGACAGGTTATGTCAACAGGCTTGAAAATAAAGGAGCAGGCTCTAGACGAAATGTTTCAGTAGCCAAAAGCGCTGTGATCTCAGACAACTACTCAGAAACTGGATTCAAAGGTAAAGACGCCTCAGGAAAATACTGATAATCAAGAGAAAGGAGGTAAGACTGGCCTTAAAGGGAAATAAATGTACCATGAAGATTCCAGGACTGAAACAGTCTGCTACCTAAGAAGAACAGAATGTCCAGAAGTGGATCAGAAACCATGCGGGAACTGAGTGTATGACAAAGGCAGCAACTCAAGCGGGGACAGTAATAAATATTCAGTAAATTAAATGGCCACGGGAGAGGGGCTAAGGGAAAAGCTCCCTGAGTCTTATTCTCTACCAAATAAATCTGGAAGCATGAAAGAATTAGCAGTAAAATCTGTAACCAAAGTCCTCGAAAAGAAGATCAATATAAGGCTCCTTTTTTTTTTAAAGTGGTGCTGGGGACCAAACCCGAGGATCGCACAAGCACTCTCTCACTGAGCTATGTGCCCAAGTCCAGTGCCTTTCTAAATTAGGGCTCAAAATCAGAAGCAGTAAGGAAAAGCTTAACAACTCTGACTATGTGGAAGTAGATGATTCTGAATGAAAACAAAACGTGATCATGAACAAAGAAAAAACCCATGAACTTAGGAATTACACTTACAATATGCTTAACAATGGCACTGTTTATATTTATAATACACTTAACAGAGGCACTATTTCTTCTCTATAAAAGAGCTTACGAAAAAATGGGCAGTTTATAGGGAAAAGTACAAATGACATATAAAATTGTATATGAAAAATGTTTTACCTACGGTAATGAAAGATACAATCAGTGTCATTTCTGACTATCAGATAAGCCAAAGTTGAAAGGTAAATGGTGACAGTCAGCTGTGGTGGCACACGTCTATAATTCTAGCACTTGGGAGGCTGAAGCAGGAAGATCACTGTGAGCTGGAGGTCTGCCTGGGCCACACAGTAAGTACAAGGTCAGCTTGAACTATGTAGTGACACCTTGTCTCACAGGAGGAAAAGATACAAATACTATGTTACCAGAAGCATAAACTGATGTATTCTTTCTAAACCTGTGAATAGTGATAAAATTTTAAGTTCACATATTCTACTGTTAGAAATTTCCCCTGCAGAAGCTCCCCCAAATTTTCCAAGACTGCTCCGACAAAGATGCTCACTGCAGGCCGACTGCAAAAGCAAAACCTCCAATACCACACCGGCATCCTCAAGCAGGAAACAGTGTAAATACATGAAGGCGTATTCATAAAATGGACTATGACGCTTTTCTGGGACAGAAGAGGGAGCTGGGAAGAGTGGAGTGGAAGATCATTTTCTATCTTTTACCCAAGAATACTCTTAGAACCCATCCACAACTGGATTTCTTTTTAAAAATGTTTTCAGGGTGAAAGATTTACGGGCTTTTTTAGGTTAGTAGAATTTTTAGGTTAACTGAACCACTCCAGACTGTAGGACTGAATTTTGGAGAAGTTAGCTAAAGCAATGTAGCAATATACCGTGATTGCTAAACTGAGCAACAGCTATCAAAATAAAAAATGAGGTGCCCTCTGCTCCCTCACTCTCTCTGCTGAGGATTTACCTCCTCATGAACTTGCTGGAATGTAAAGACACCCCAACACTGCAGGCAACAGCAAAAGTGAGAAAAACACCTAAGACCTCATAGACAGAAGATCAGTTGCATAAATTACACAATCCTTAAGGTGGAATTCTCTGCAGCTGCCTTAATGAGGCAGGTCTTTTTTGCTGTATAAGATGCATCCAGAGCAGACTAATCAACGAAAGTATGATCTTACACAGTTTCGTTTACAACGAAAGTATCATCTTACATATGATCTCACGCAACACAGCATGATCTTAATTTGTATAAGTTTTTGAAAAGACAAATGCACGTGCAATTCCGGGAGGGAAACTTCCAAAAGCACTCACAAGCAGTTACACTTTTTTTTTCCTACGGAATGTGCAACTGTTACATTTCACTAAGTAATTTTTGAAGACTAACGATGTAACACCCTGAGCTTGATGAGAACAAGGAAGGCCACAGTCATGAATCCAGCTTTTAATACCCTGTTCATCTTCCCCACAGGAGCAAACAATAAAAAGTCGGCTGGGGGAGTAAGGGAAGAGGCAGGGAGGAACACGGCCCCAGAGAGCCACCTGCCAGGACTGGCTTCCTGAACCTGCGCGCTCCACGACTCCTCAGCCCTGAAAGGACAAGGTCCTCTCCCTTGCATGTGGGACCCTCTCTGCCCTCACTTCCCACCATGCCTGTCCTGCCCGCCTTCGCACTTTGGGTTTAGGCTCAGTACAGGCCTCCCATGGTCTCCTGTCCCTGGGGCCCCTGCCCTCCTTCCTTCCTCGGGAGCCTGTAAACTCAAACACACACACGCACCAAAGCCTTTCCGCCTGGGTCCTGGCCTCTTTCCAAGGTTACTCCATCTCGCTGTGCACCGTCTCCCCTGAGGGACTCTCTGTTCTGCCCAATCCTGTCCTGGCCAGGGGCCCTGCCCTCAGCTTACAGGGGCCTGGGCTGCTACAGCACGTTCATAAAGAGGAAGACACTAGAAGGAAACTCTGAGTACGAGCGACACATTTCTACTTTCTCAGAAGGAACTGACTAGGCTTTCTTGAGTACTGGAAGTCTTTTCTTTTTGGTCTTTTTTTCTGCGAAAGTACTTTCTCTTGGGCTGCTCAGATGCCACGGAGAAGGCACTCATTCTCTTTGGTGCCAGGCTAGAAGCCGGGTCAGGAAGGAGGACGGGGATTGCTCACTATCAGCTCGTGAGCCTTCTCTCAATTGCCACTTTCAGAAGGTCTCCTCGCTGCCCGTGCAGTGTGGAGGGCGTCTCCCAGCCCAGTCAGCTGGGGCCTGCTCCTGCCATCACCTGCCAAGCTGGCTGCTCGGAGGGAGGGAGGGACAGGACCAGGGCCCCGCTTCTCGGGTGTCTAAGTAACCCTCTCGTTCACAACCCTCCCTGTATGCCCCCTTCCAGACATTCCTGAGACCTAACAGGAGGACACGGTCAAAGGCGGCTGCTCCGGGCTGGCAGGTGAGTGAGCACTGGCCCATCTGCTTTGTGGCAGTCATCTCCTGTTCTGTTCTTTTGTATTTTATGCTTTAAGAAATCCCTTCACTGTTCTTTTAGACAAACGCATGTGACCAACCCACATTCTCTTATCTCACAACAATTCTATGACTTACGTAGTTTTGTTTCTTTTTGAGACATGGTCTCACTTTTTAGTTTAGGCTGGCTCTGAACTCACTAAGAAACCCAGGCTGGCACTGACCTTGTGGCATTCCTCCTGCCTCAGCCTCCCGAGTGCTGGGATTACAGGTGGGATTACAGGTGTTCACTGCCACACCTAACAGTGACTTATGTATTACTGCTCCACTTCACAAGAGAAAAAGAAGCCTGGAGAAGCTATGTTACTTGCTGAAGGTCACCCACCCAATGCACTGTAGAGCTGTAATTTGAACCTATTGTTTGAGGCCTATTATGACAGGGCAGAGGTAGAAAAACTATAGCCTCGGAAGGTTAAGTATCTTCCAAGAGCTAAGGCAAGCAAATGCCAGCACACAGACTTGAACTCAGGAGCGTTCAAGCTTGTTCTCTAGTATAACCTACTGCCCCATCTTTAAGGCTCCCCCCATCTAATTGCTCTACTGGGGCTCAAGAATATATTCTCCCGGATCCAAGAGCTGTCTTGCACTGTCTGTGTTTTCATTTTTCCATATTTCCTAAAATCCGTATGTGTGAATCAATCTAGAAAGCCCCTTCATAATTCATCACTGCCCAGGGGTTGGCGGGGTGTGTACATGTGTTTCTGTTTGCCATCTTCTTGCTCTTGAGAAGTGCTATTTCACCATTTCAGATGAATGAAGAGAGAACAGAGTCTGCCTTACCTTATGAACAGTATCCTGCGGCAAAGGAATCGAAGTAAGCGAGGGTCTAACGTGAGAACTAAGACCGCGAAAGAAAAAGTGGAGGAGGAGCACCAGGCCAGCCCACAGCGAGGGCATCCAGGCTGTTCAAACTTGAAAGGTGCTGAAAGGTGATACTCAAGGCTTTCAAAGGTGTGAGTGCCAATGCTATTTCAGCAAATCATCAAAGAGCAAGAGCACACCATGTTTATTTGAATATCACTAAAGTGGGAATTGTGTTTTAATTTACTTTTTCTTGTTTTGCAATACTAGGAACTGAACCCAGGGCCTCTGCACTGAGTTACCTTCCCAGAGGTTTTTAAAATTTTTATTTTTCATTTTGAGATAGATAGGGTCTTGCCAAGGCACTAAGCTCCCCAGGCTGGCCTTGAACTTAGAATCCTTCTACCTTAGGACCCGGGAGAGTTGGCTGTTTTTGTTTTTAATAGCTGAATAGGAGTGACAAGCCCAAGGATCAACACCTATCATATGGACACGCAGTCGAGAGCTGAGTGACCGTGTGGTCAGTGACACACGACACATACAGTGGCGGTCCCGTAAGATTTCACGAAAGCTTCCTGTCACCCAGTGATATGACAGCCATCGTAACCACTGTAGCACAATCCGTCTCTCGCGGTTTACATACTGCACTGCCTGCTGTAGAAGTGTGGCATGTACAGTTGTGAGCAATGCACAGTACTTAATAATGAATGACTGCTACTGGTTTATGTAATTTTTTCTGGTCTTTTGAGAGTGTATTCCCTCTTCTTACATAGTAAAAAGTTCACGATAACTGTGACCTCTTATACCAGGAGCCCTCATGTTGTGAGTCTCTGTCTCTCTCTCTTTTTTTGTGATGGGGCAATTCTAGGGATTGAACCCACTGCATTTAAAGCACTGAGCTACATCCCCAGCCCTATTTTATTCTGAGACAGTGTCTCACTAAGTTACTAAATTGCCCCTGCTGCACTCAAATTTCCTGTCCTCCTGCCTCAGCTTCTCACAGTGCTGGGATTGCGGGACTGTAGGCTTGTACTATGACACCCAGCCACAGCATCTCTTGACCTTATCGGCAGGCCAAATCCAGTGACCTGTACCGTCTCCGTCTACGAACGCTCTTGGGAGGCTGGAACAGCGATGTACCTCTTGGAACACATCCCCGCTGAGTGACATGACTGTATGCAGAAGTAACATACCGAAATAATTTAGGTATACACGGGGGTCAGAGAGAGCTGGCCAAAAAGAGGACAAACACATCCTCCAATCCTAACAAAGTTAGCAGGGTGGCGATCTAACCACTGGAGGTGGCTTTTGTGTCTTTCCTTTAATGTTTCCCTTTACCCCTCTTCCCTTCTCAACTTTCTTTTGGATTATGGGTTATTAATGTATGTGTCTTTTCTCTCCTTATAACTGACAAATGGGGTAAAAAGCTCGTCCTTTTTACTGTGTACATCCATAGCATTTGGCCACAGGGGCAAGATGACAAGTCCTGTATCTGTTTTTTAAAAGAAGGAACCAAACCGGGCATAGGGTTTGCATCTTTAATCTAAAAATCCGAAATCCAAATACACCAAAATCTGAAAACTTAACTGCCTACAGGAGGCCACAAGTGGAAAATTCCACACTTGGTTCCACGTGAATGGTCGCAGTTAAAACTCGGGTGAACTAAAAATATTGCATGAAACTGCCTTCGGGCCAGCTGCACGGGGACCTGGGTCTCATGCCCAAGGTATCTCATTAGGTGTAGGCAAACATTTCAAAATCAGGAAAAACTCCCAAGCATTTCGGATAAGGGATACTCAATCTTATTACCCCATATGAAAGGTGAGAAAGCTGTGGCTGCGAGCTTAACGTGCTCAGTATCGCTGAAATGAAAGAGTGAGCAGCTGGGCCGCAAAGCCTGTACATAGACCGATATGAGCAGGCTTCGCTCTTAAGCAAATCGAAATCAGGAATCAACGAGATTCTGAAGTCGCAGGCCGGCGCTGTGCGGCTTAGGAAAAGGCCTCTTCCCTCTCCGGCCTCAGTTTCCCCATCTGTGAAATGGGGACGTGTCCCAGACACCGAGGCCTCTGGCAGCGTGAACCGTGCGGGACGAGAGGCCCGGGGCGTGCGGCGGCCAGTCCTCTCCCAGGCGCTTACCATTTGATAATGTTGTGAACCAAAGGTAAGAAGGAGTAGTTCTCTTCCTCCTTCGCGTCGGCCGGCGACTGAGGCCGTGGCGCCGGCGACTGCTGCGGCTGGGGCGCGGCAACCGGCGGCGGCGGCTGCGGAGGTGGCAGCGACTTGGCCTCGGGCAGCGGCGACTCGGAAGGCGGCGGTAGCGCGTCCTCCGCCTGTCGCCCGGGGGCCACCCCGGCAGAGGCCATAGCGCCCGGTCCTGCAGCAATTCAAGCGTAGGACCCCAGGAGTCCGCCAGCCGAGAGCGTCGCAAACCGCTTGCGTCACTACCAGGCGCTCCAGCGAGGCCGGGATGGTACTGAGCATGCGCACTGACGGGAGCCGAGGGGAGGGCTTAAGAAGCGGGGGCGGGGATTGTTGCTAGGCAACAAGCTCCCGGGTGGGTCTGAGCTGGCCTGGGGTAGGTTGTGTGTCGAGATAGCTAAATTATTAAACAGTGAGGAACAGAAGGCTTATTTTAGAAGTAACAGTTTTCTTAATCCTGTTCATATGACGAAGAGGGCCCAAAAACAACAAACAGGAAACGTCGAGGTAGATAAGGGGCTGCAGGCTCAGCCCTGGAGGTCCCGGAGGACCCAGCCACGTGGCAGCACAAGGCACGAGGTTTAGGCAGTGCCTGTGCGAGGCCAGCGCTCTGAGGGCACAGGCGATCGGGACGAGGCCGCACTCCTCCGCCAGCCAAGCCCGCAGTGCCAGACCCCGGGCTGAGGCCTAGGGACACAGAGGCAAATACACGTGCTCTCGAAGTTCCACGCGGCGGCGGGAGAAGCTAACCGGTTCACTCAACCAGCGTTGCTATGCACCTGCTGCTGGCCGGCTAGAGGTGCGCGTAGGGACTTTCAGTACAGAGCAGAGGGGGTTCACACCAGGAATAAACACGCCCTAGACGAAAGCGAGCATCACATACCCTTACCACCTTTGGGCCAGTTCCCAAAGCCTTTAGGTCCAGTTTCCTTGCCTCTAAAATCTTACCTGGTTCAGTGTCATGGCAGAGCTAAGCTAGTACTTTCTTTTTTTGTTGTGTTTTTCTTCCGGTACCAGGAATCGAACTCACGACCTTGCGCTTGCCAAGCAGGCGCTTTGCCACTGAGCTAAATCCCCAGGCCCTAAGCTAGTGCTTTCTGACTTCAAGTACATGTCTGACCCCAAAAGGATCCTCTAGGATCCTAGGCCAAAGAGGGGGACTTCTGATAGGTTTGCATGTATACTTCTCAAAACAGTGTGATCTGAGGGCTGTGTTACATATTCATAGCAATGGGCACAGCTATCCTAAGCTTGGTGAGTGTGCAGGAGACACAGGCTAGAAAATTGTCAACTGGTTGGGCTTGACGGCCTTCAGGCCATTATCACGGCAGTAAAGAGAGGCAAGGAAGTCCACATTCAGGAAGTAAGGCGAACAGCATTTCCGGGCATGGTGGCACACCCCGAGGACAGCATTGGTGATGATATTTTCAGGGGCTTGTGGGGGCATCTGGAGCAGATTCTTGGAGACGGGTCTATGTGCTGTAGTTAAGGAGCTCATCCAAGCTTTCTCCAGCCAGAGCTGCCCAGACTGTCCCAGAAGCAAAGCAAATGGAGAGGCAGAATTGCAGTATTTATTCCTTCTAACCTGGAACCCGTCCAACTAAGAGAATAGTTCAAGACCGTTGGCACTGGGCCACATGGGCTGAAAGAGACTTCACACTCTTGGAACCATCTGGGGATGTAAAGGTGGTAGAATGGAAGTAATAGTACTTACCACAACTATCATGGAATAAAAGCAACCTTAAAGAACAGTTACAATTGCTATCTCAGAGAGCCCGAGAAGGTAGATGTCAGCATCCCGGTATTATAGATGAGGACATAGGCTTACAGCATTTACAGTACCACCCCAGGGTCACACTATCACAAAGCTTGCCTAACGCTAAGTCTAGGGTTCAAACTGACACTTAGAGGACCTCAGGTTCATTCCTGTTCTGTAGCTTTATGATGTGAAATGTTAAAAATGGGTTTTTGCTCAGAATTAGAAAAACAATCCAATAATCATCAATAATATCCCCATGGCAACCACACGTCATCTTTTCCCTCTCAGTGTGTTTCATAACTTAATTATGAGTCCCAGTTTTATCGTTGGCAGAATAATGAAGGCATCTCCTTAAAAATGAAAACACTTCAGGTATAAATAGATACGGCTAAAGAAAACAAATTGAAAGCATAGGAAGGATGAACAAGAGTGACAAGCGTTGACCATTTCCCCTAAAATAGTTAATACAATTAGTAGAAGAGAGTACAGCTAGCGTCATAACATTGCAAGTGGATGTCATAAAAAATACTGCCTGTGCTGGCTTCATTAAGGGTGAAATTGCTGCAAAAAATGTATGTTGTTATAGCCTCTCTGCTAGAAGTCAAAAAAGCCAGCTACTCCAGTGAAATGTGGGGAGAGATTGTTAGACTTCACCAAGTTAAAAGATGTGGCTGTTGCTTCCTTAGGGAAATTGGTGCCGTTTCTCATAAGGCCCTGTCCAGCCAGTGGCTTAAGGGTCAGGCTTTGGAGCCAGTCTGCCTGATTCCATCCCAGTTCACCCTCCTTGAAGTTATTTCACTTTAGTCAGTTGCTTCGTTGTGCCTCACTTGGTGCAAGCGTGCGATCTTACAGGAGGACTAGATGGTTTATTATATGTTGCTGTGGTTTGTTTGTGTCCCTATAAGTTCATGTACGTATTAGAAACTAACCTCAAGTTGAGAGACAGGACCTTTAGGGGGTGATTAGGTCACCAGGACTCTGCCCTTATGGATAGATTAATGCCATCGCAGGAGTGGAAATCATTCTCAAGAGAGTGAGTTTGTTATAAAAACAGCTTAGATCCTTTCTTCTTCTCTCTTCATTAACCGCCTTCTGCTGTGTTATGATAGAGCGGAAGACCCTCACTAGGCCTGGCTCCGTGGTCTTGGACTCAGTTTCTGAAGCTATGAGCTAAATGATTTTCTGTGCAATAGAAACTACCCAGTCTATGGTATTCTGTTATACAGCACAAAATGGACTAAGAAACTTATAAAACACTCAGAATATCTGTGCATGGTACATATCAGTGCCTCTTATTATACAAATTTAGGGCTTCCTCTTTGCTAATTAACAAAATCCAGACTGAGAGCAGTTTTAAAAAATACAGCTTCAAGTAAAGCAACTAAAACATCATTTTGCCTGGCATGATGGCATACACCTGTAACCCTAGCACTGTAGGAAGCTGAGGCAGGAGGACCATAAGTTCAAACCCAGCCTTGGTGACTTAGCCAGACCCTGTCTCAAAATGAAAAATAAAAAAGGCTGGAGATGTAGCTCAGAGTGATGGCTTTATATTCAATCTCTAGTACCACAAAAAATACAATTTAAAGAAGGGAACAAATGAAGTTAATTTTAATGACATTTGTTTAACCCAATACATCCAAAGTGTTATTTCAACACAAAACCAGTATTAAAATCATTAGCTATTTACTACTTTTTGTGCCGCCTTTGAAACCTTATGTGTTTTGCAGTTAGAGTACATCTCCATTGGTGCTATCCACCTTTGAAGTGCTCAGGGGCCCTGTGGGCTGGTGGATACACAACTGGATGGTACAGAGAGACTGGTTCCCATCAACGTAGGCAGAGCACATAGCCCTGAGGCAGAAATGGAGGAAAAGCAAGGGCACAAGGGGGACTACTTTACCTGGTCTATCACAACTTGCATGTGTCAGCTTTCTGTTGCTGTCATAAAATAGCTGAGTGTTTTGATCTGCAGAAACTGTATGCGTGCATGTTGAGTTGAATGATTAGTCATGCAGAACAAAGTCAACTTAAAAAGAGGAAAAGTAAATTCAAGCACACAGTTAAGATTTCAGTCCTTGGTCAGTGGTCCCCTTGCTTTCAGGCCAGTTGTTAGGCAGTGTATCATGGTGAAAGTAGGCTGGACATAAATCTGTAATACACAGACCTTTGGGCAACAGATACCCGAATCCTAACATTATGCAAATCTTTGAAGTAGGAAAAACAGCACTATATATTGTGTCTAAATACAAGACATATATATGTACAAGTATTTGAAAAAGAGACTGGAATGAAACCCCCCATTCATGTAAGAGGGGTTAGAACTCAGAAGTGGAATATGATAGGCACAGGAACTTTCTGTGTAGTGAGTGTTTCTTTTCTTTTGTAAGTTATACTAGGACTTAAAGCAAATGAGAAAAATATAAACCATTGCCAAACATGCCGGCGGGTACATAGGGGTTTGATACACGGAATAAGGTTCTGTGCCTCTCTGGCTGACCTTGGGCAAATGATTTAACCTTTCTTCCATGGCTTCCTCATCTGCAAAATGCAATCATAAAAATACCTACCTCTTGGGGGTACTGTGAGGATTATCAGAGTTATTACAGGAAAAGAGCTTTGAACGGTGCCCGGCACATTGTCAACTCCATTCCAGCTTGAAATTGCTCTATTGGAAGCAAACAGAAATCAGCTTGAATCCAGAACTGAGCCTTCAGCTGTTCAAAGTGGACCTGCATCACCAGTACCTATGAGCTCACTCGTGATGGACTTCTGCTACGTGAGGTCCAAAAATAGCTCCTTCCCGTCAGACAAATGGTTCGGGGCCTGTTAAACCAGTCATGTCATTGTGTGCTCGGGGGCTTTTTCATCAAAGCTTTGTACTTGCATATGATTCATTCTTTTCTTTTCATGACCTGGAGCTTTGGGCAGGTGGGAAAAGCTACATGATACTTTGATTTCCGTGAGTGTATAAAACGGGAAACAGTCATGGCTCAAGCCAAATGCAGTACAATATACACCAGGAATCAGCTCCCTTGGGCTGTGATTTGTTGCTTAAACCTCAGACAAAAGCCCTTCCCTCAGCTCTGCCCTGGCTTTCTTCTCTGTCTGAATTCCATTTGATTTCCTTTTCTTTTTTTCCTTTCAATCACCCTCTCCTTGCTGAAAGCTACTCCATTCTGCCCAATTTCTCAGCTCGCTTGTGCACTCATTTTGAGGCACTTCAGCGTACAAATTGGACTATATTTCTTTAGACTCAGAAAATTCTCCTTTGGTTTCTATTCCTTCTTTTTGTGATTTTTCTCCAGGCCTCCACCAGCTGCCCTTTGAATTACCAAATAGCTTTTGATATAATACAACCGAGAGGCGATCCTTTCCAGGAACTAGCTTTTGTCTAAAATGCTTCATTACTGCTCTGAGACCATATTTTTTTCTGATCTCTTTATCACGTAATCTTCATTCAAATTATTTGTTAAGCAAGGATTTTTCCTTCCTTC